AATATCGATTTCAGTTTGCTGCGACAACGTGGACTGCTGGCTGTTTTAATAGTATTAGGGCTTGTATTTAGCGTAATTTATAAAATCGATGGCCCGCATCAGCAGATCATTGAGCTGGTGCATCGCAACACCTGGTTCTTTGTATACTGGCTCGGACTGGGCGTTCTCTCGTCTGTGGGCCTGGGCACCGGCCTGCACACATTTCTACTCTATCTGGGCCCCCATATAGCCAGTGTCACGTTGGCTGCCTACGAATGCAACTCACTCGAATTTCCGCAGCCACCATATCCCGACGAGTAAGTGGAAAACTATATATATATATATATATATATGTATATCCATATAATCAAGATAGACTTAATATTGGAATTACTCTTAAATGTATTCACATATATAATTATAAGTTCAAAGTGCCTTAGGTAAAAAACAGGTATGCAAATCCTAAATATACGAGCTGAGGTACTCCTTGTGAATAGGCTATACAGATACACATATGCATGTATTCTTCATATACTATATTCATATACAAAGCAGCAGCTCAGCGTAGACTACAGCTTGCCCGCTAGTCGAAGGCTCCTTAATTACATCTATACAAAATAGTTTTCATTTTAAGTTTTCCGAAGTAAAGTGAAGGTATTTTAGTTTCGCTAATTTTTATTGTATTCAGATTTGTACATTAGCTTATCTCAATTTATTTGGAATATTTGCAGCATCGTTTGTCCGGAGGAGCCATATTTAAAGAAGATGCCCAATATTTGGAGCATCATGTCCAAGGTGCGTCTGGAGGCGTTCCTGTGGGGCGCCGGTACTGCATTGGGTGAGCTGCCGCCGTACTTTATGGCCAAGGCTGCACGCATGTCCGGCTACGATCCGGATGATGCTGAGGAGCTGGCCGAATTCGAGGCGCTAAATGCGAAACGGAATCAGAAGAACCTCAGTCTCATGGACCGGGGCAAACTGTTCATGGAGCGCGTCGTCGAACGCGTCGGTTTCTTTGGTATATTGGCCTGTGCAAGCGTATGTCCAACATGATTCCACCTATTTTCGATATTATTCAACTTATGTGCAATTTCATAGATTCCCAATCCGCTGTTCGATTTGGCTGGAATCACATGCGGTCACTTTCTGGTGCCATTCTGGACGTTCTTTGGAGCCACGCTGATTGGCAAGGCCATCATCAAGATGCATATACAGAAGATATTTGTGATTATTGCTTTTAATGAGACGCTCATCGAACGCGCTGTCGATCTGATTGCCACGGTGCCGATATTTGGGCGCAAGCTGCAACAGCCCTTCAAGGCGTTCCTCGAGAATCAGAAGCAGCGCCTGCACAGGCAGCAACGTAGCCGCAATAACACAGCCGGCGGCAGCGTCGGCAATAGCGCCGATTCCGCGAATCTCTTGTCCAAAGTCTTTGAGACCTTTGTCATTGGCATGGTATGCTATTTCGTCGTCTCCATTGTCAACTCACTCGCCCAGAGCTATCACAAGCGGCTGCACAAGAAGTCGCGCCACCTGCCGCCAGCTGTTGCTGCTACCACAGTCATCAGCAGCGGCAGCCAGAAGAAGCATCCCAAACAGAGGGCACTGCGCGATTAGGCGTGACTGCGAGCAGTCAGTCCCCATCCTATTAATATTTGAAGGCACCTTTGCCACCTATGCAAATTCTTCGTTAATAATTTGTACCTCTGCTCTGTGACCTACGGTCGAGTGGATATTATTTTTTTTTTATCAGTTTTTTTTTCTTAGTCAAATTCCAAGGGAACTTTCTGAACTCCATTTTGTGTAAAAACTTAAGCACGTTGCCTCTCAAGCTAGAGCGTTGAGAATTTACCAAGTGGAATTCCGAGAGTGACACCGTAAACCAAACTAAATTATAATGTGTACAAGTATATTTTGTATAAAGGCGTGAAAGAGACGGCAATGGTATGGGAACGCCCTAGTTGATACCCTAGACTAGACTAGTTCAAAAAGCAAAACAAAAGAAAAAGAAAAGCGAAGCGAAAGAAAATCCTTCAAATACGAGAGTAATTAGAAAGAAGTAAGAGAGACAGACAGAGAGAGTGAGAGAGAGAGAAAGCGAAAGATGTAAAACAAAGCAAAGAAAAGCAAAGCAAACCCAAGTTAGTAAGTAACTAAACAACTGAACACAACGCAACAAATTTAAGTGCATGTATTTCAATAGTATAAAATATTTCTGCCCCTTTGTATGCCCTTGTTTAGATATATTTTTTCACTATTCGTGCGTTGCAATAACAAAATGCTAATTGTTGTGTAGAATTTTAGCTTCAAGATAAACATAAAGACATTTCGCAACAAAATAGAAAAACAAACTGAAAATTAAAATAAAACAAACACCTAAATGCTGAATATAACAAAGAAAACAACAACAAAACATAAAAATAAAGAAAAACAACAACAAAATAAAATAGAACAAAAAAATTACGAATATGAAAAGTAAACATTTAATATTTCTGTTGGTCTAGGGGATTTGTTTGTCTATGCCCAATGATGAATGACCCAAAAGACTACAACAAATATGCGTTTGGGCAGATTTTACGAGTTGGGGGTCTGCTGTAGGGTTGGTTTACAGTTATAATTTAATCACTGTGGAGCGAGTTCATGTTCTCACAAAGAAGAGACTCGTCTGACGATGTGATTCGACTCAAGATATGACTCGATTCATAATAGGATTCAATGCATATGACTAGACTGAGTCATAATGTGACTCGAGTCATGGGTCGAGCCATATAGCTCGAGTCGCATGATTCGTTTCAAGACATGACATGACTCGATTCATGATAGGACGACTCGACTCATAATATGACCTGATTGGACACATGATATGAGCTATATCCTGATTCTATTCATATGATTCTATATGACATACTATGACATACTAAACTCATCTCGACACATGATATGACTCAACTCACAATATGTTCGACTTATGTTCGACTCCTGATTTGACTCAAATATACTCCACTCATCAAATGACTTGATTCGACTCGGGATATGAATCGGCTAATGATATTAGTCGAGTGACTATATGACTTAAATCATAATACGACTCGACTGAATATAAAACAAAAGCTGAAATCAAAGCAAGATTAATAACACATATGCCACATAGGATTTGTATCAGTTGTCGTGCCTAAATTTGCTAGACAGCTTAAAGATGGGGCAATGAATCACATTTCAAGCATAAATCCACTTAGCAATGTGCTAATAAAAAGCTTTAATCAGAGCGCAGGCAACTTGTTGCCCTTTAACTCATTAAAGCGACTAGCTGAGAGAGCAGAGAGCCATATCCTGCAGAGTGCTCTGAAGGACAATTGCTTCTGGCTTACAGCAAGACGCTGGCGTCCACTTGTCGTTACGCTTATGCTAAGGATTGCGAGGCGAATGTGAAACGCGTTTCGCATGCCCAATTCAAAGGACAACAAGAACAACAACAAGAACAACAAGAACAACAACTAAGGGGACTAACAAGCCAGACAGCAAAATGAAGTGCAATGTCAACAATGAGCCGGTGGCGAAAGGACATGGGACAGGACGTGCTAAATGTCAGTGTCCAAAAAATTGGCACGTACATAAAGTATTTTCATTTAACTGTCAGCATTTATTTAAAATGTACAGAAACTCATCTGTCAGGGCATAACGCAACGCCGCATATACCCAAACTGTGTGCGTCAGACGACAGATTGCAAATGCCACAGGCTGGCTTATAGTTTCCTGCGAAGGTGGGTGCTGGGGCTGGGTGCTCATGAATTTCAGTTGAATGCACAGGAGGCGCGCACTGGCCACACCCAAAGAGAGGCGCACAGCTCGATGGCTGCTGCCGCTGCCGTTGCTGCTGCTTTGACAGCGGCCGCAGGCGCTACGTGTTTAGCAAGGCAAGCGTTGACAACAGAAACAACCAGCTATAAACGAGCCAAGTCGCTAAACTAACCAAAGCTTCATACCTAATGCCTCGCCCAACCGCAAAATTTAAACGAATAAACGAAAAAAAAGAGACCGCTAAAAAGTTGGAATTTTTGTCGGCGCACAAAAGCATGCAATGAAATTATGTGGTATGCTCAGAGACCAGCCGGAAACGGCTATGCTGCCTATGTGTGTGTGTGTGTGTGTGTGTCTGTGAGGTAGAGCGAGTGGGAAGAAGGCTGACTGGAAGCATGAATGTAGATGCGAGAGTGGTCGTGGCTCAAGTGTTGTTCCCCAAGCGAGCTTTGCTTTCAGTCGGCGCGTGCAAGTATGCGAAGCTGGGGAATGAAACTGAAGCAGTTTGTGACTGCGCCCCGAACAACCCCATCTATACTATTCGACCCGCAACATAACAGCATTTCCCTTTTTGCATGTGGCGGGTGTTTCTATTGGCGCTGGCACTGAGCAAAAACGAGCCGCTAAAGCAAGTATCGTGTAGATGCGATATGTTATCGATCGCACATTTTATAGGCGCTCTTCACACGACAGTTCACATATAAATTGCAATTAAATGTACTAAAGTCAAATTACGCTATTTAAGTTAGGCAAATATTAATGACCTTTAAAATTTCTTTATATAGAAGCGCAGCAACAATTTAACAATTAAATTAAATTACAATTTAMTTTTGTTATGTGTGCTACTGTATAGTTAATTAAATTAATTTTTTACCTCTTATTAGTTATCTTCTATAAGTTGTTTTCACGCTGTTTGTAATCGATGTTTAGCACGCTTGTCGATAGTATTTACAGCACTCGGCCCATCGCTATCGGCCGTTGCGACTTGCGAATAGGCCAATTCAACGACCGTAGCTGAGGGCCTGTGGCTGCTGCAGCAGAACTTACATTGGCATAGACGCGCACCAGCTGCGTGCGAATTAAGACGTGTTTCAAGCAAGATTTTTTACAGTTTTTTTTGTTATTGTTGTTCTTGTGTAGATTGTTTGTTTGCCTGCATCCGGTGAATAAGAATTGAAATAAATAAGCCGGAATAAGCAAGTCTGCAAGCTGGTTCTTTTTTTTTTTTTTTTTTTTTGGTAATTTTATTTGAAAACAATTTTTGTCGTGTATACGTGGGTGACAAGCATAATGTTGCATTATCTATATAATATGTGAAATGGATTTCGCGAATCGCAATAATACGGCCAATAAGTTTGTCTGCCCCAGCGACAGGCAGCTGGCCCTGCGTGCCAAGTAAGTAAATTGCGCTCAAAAGTCTACTCAGAAATGCCAAATGCAACAATTGGGCGCCTGTTGTTATTTGTCGCTGTGTGTGTGTGTGTATGTGTGTGGAAGTTAAGCAATAGCTAAAACAAAGCGAATGTGAAATATGTGTCTGTATGAGTGTGTAATGTGCGCGTCATAAACAAAAGCTGGCCACATTGTTGTTACTTGTGCTGCTGCCTGATAAGGCAACAAGCGGCGCGCAACAGTTAGTAGTGCTAAGCATTACAACGACAACGACAACAACAACAACTATTGCGAACGCCAACTGTCGCGTATGTTTCGACAAAAGCTTTAGTTATAATTTAATTAACTTTGACTGCGTCAGTCCTCGCACTCCCGCTCGTTGTCTATGTACATGTATGCATGTGTATTGTGTGTGTGTGAGTGTGTGTCTCTGTGTGATTAGCTAAAATGCGATATACTGTTTTATCAGCTACACGCATACAAATGCATGCAGCTATGCTATGTGTGTATGTGTATGTGTGTGTGTGTGTGCTTGCGGCTTGGCCATGGAATCGCCAACGCGTGCTGTCAAGGACCCAGCGCCGCATGGCATCCTGCGTCCTTCGTCTAATCATAATTACTAGCTGCGGCCGCTCGCTGAGCCTTGCCGCCAACTCGCTGACAGATTAATTATATTTTAATAATGCTCATATTATTATTATTCTCTTTTTTATAAGTATGTATATGTATGCATATGTATATACATATGTATGTATTTTTTTTATCACAGTCGAAATACGAAATTATTTATTGCAACTGACGGCGACGGCTCGACTGAACTGCTGGCAGGGGAGCTGAAAAGCCACATTAACACTCCCCATACACACACACACCCATGCACACACATGTACACACATACACACACATAGGCACACGCATGCACAGCGACCAGCACATGGCGGCTAGCAGCATATGTTTGTGTCAAAGCGAAAACGTGTAGCATACTGCGAGGCGCAATCCCAGCTGACTGAATGTGCGAATTGGGGCTTTACGCAGAATTAACTACAAGTACAAAACAGCGCGCGCGCACACACACACACACATATATATATACATACAATGTGTATAGTATATATATGTATATATAGTAAAGCACATTTTATGCATAACGCCCAACCGCAAAAGACACGCACAGCATGCGCACCGGATGGCAGCTGTGTGGCTGGCAGACAGCAGGCAGCGGGAGCAGGCAACGGGAGCTGGCAGGAGGCAGCAGGCAGCAGGCTTCAAGTGCTCAATTTACACTTCCGTTCGAGTTTCACTGTACATAAAAAAAAAAGCATAGAAGGAAATCAAGCATAGCAGCCATGCCTCGAACGTCCAGGGCTGTGTGTGACGCATAGAAATCAAACGGGGCGTGGCATGGTAGCTGCACTGACAGCCGTGTACTTGAAATTCAAATTACAACTCAAGGCAGGCAACTGCAGTCGGAGGCACAGCTTACAGCTGTCATAGCCGCAATGTTGCGGTGAAAATGCTTGGAAAATGAAATTTTCATACCTTGAAAGCATTGCAAAATCGAAATACTCGCACGTGGGCATAGAAAAAACGCAGTCTGATTGGAAATGCCAGTGTTACGTCTAAATCCAGTTCATGTCCGCCCGCGCTTCAAATGGCCACGGGTATTTCGCAAGTCAGGTCCAACCCATGTCTGATTGGAAATGCCAGAGCTACGGGTATTTCCTAGTCAAGCACTTCAACCCAACAACGGATCTGCATAGCAGAAATGCATTCCGATTCTCAGCTTTTCATCCTAGTCAAATTATAGACTTTGTGCATATCTCACTCAATGATCTAAGTTGCAGCAATAGACCTGAAGCACGATCGTGATGCAGGCGTGTTGAGGCGCATTAGCACAGAAGTGCAACAATTTTGAAGCATGTCACAGTCTATATAATTGTTGCTAATGTTTTGCTATAGGCTGTACACGGTTCTTAAGTGACTTTAGCAATTGTGTGTTTTAGTGCACCAAATGGGGCCAACAAATTGAAAAGCGCACGCAAAGCGAAACTAACTCATTTTGCCTGTTGCTGCCGCTGTTGCTGCTGCTGCATGCAAATACCGTTGCTCGATCCTGGCACGGCAACAGCAGCTGTTGAAACTGAAGCTGAAAGCCCTCAAGGCAACAGGCGAGGTTACGGCACACGAGGATACACGAATACATACATACAAATGAGCTGGCAAGCGTGTACAGTGAACATGCCGTAGAGTGAACCAAGCGAACTGAGCGAAGGCAACAAATTATTGTAGGTCCTTACTTCACTTCACTCTATGGAAAAAATTAAATTAAAACAAAGTCATTATACCAAAGCCAGGTATACCCTGAAGCGTGCTGTCGTAGAGACTGACCTTTGTATAACTGATAATCCAATAGTTCGACGCTTCTTTTCTACATACACAATAAACAAATCATTCACATACGCACGCATACATAAGCCGGTATACAAAATATAATGTAATCGAAATTTTATAAAATACACAGGAACCTATACCTAAAATTTGGACACTCTAGTCTCAATAGATGTACGAGATAAAAGTGTAAATAAAGGGTCGATATAGCTTTCAAACGATAGCAAAGATAGTTATTGTTTATTGTATTTTATAAAATACACACACTCGTATATCCAATCCAGAGATATACAGGTATACGAGATAAAATTCTATAACCTTTTTCGACAAAGTTTTCAATCGATAACAAAATAGTTATCGTTTTTTTGTAGGATCTGATCTAACGACAGACAAACATGACAATGTCGACTCATCTCATCGCCCTGATCAAGATATATATAAGATATATACTTCTTGAGATCTACCACGCCTCCTTCAACCTTCAACAAAATAGCATATATCTGCCAGTTCGCATTTTGAATGGGTTCTGGGTCTAAATCGAACATAGCCAGTTCGCCATATTGGGTGACTACTGTACATTCAAGTGGCCCGTGCAAGTCAACAAACCCGCGGCAAGGCAAAACGGCGGGCACCAACTAAGGAACACGAATGCGAACAGCAAAGAGTAACAAAAAAAAAAAAATAAATAAATAAAAAAGAAATAAACATTTTAACGAACACGCCGAGGCTCTTTCACGCTAAAGTGTTGTACGGCGTTCAAATGTGT